TTTTGAGAATGGTCCTTTGAAACTTTCACTGCACAGTAGAACAAGAGGATCTTCTCAACAGTTTTCTATCCATTTTCTTGACATCAGAAAACCAAGCGATAAGTGAGATGCTTAAAAGAAATAGATGCTTTGAGGGAGCTGAAGATGAGGACAGATACCAGAAAAAAAAGGGGAGAAAAGGAGGAAATGAGGGCTGTGTCACCAAATTTGTTGAAAAACTAAGAGTCTAAGACTAGTTTTCAGGGTCAGGCAGCGGGGTGAAAATAAGGGGTGTACGCCAGACAAATTCAGACTGAAGATTCATCAGAGAGGTGGAGAGGAGATGAGGAAAAATGCAAAATACACCAAGGCACTCAGTCCTCTCCCTCATCTGTAAATACAGTGATACACTTTGGGCTGTGTGCACACAATAAATATATATATAATAAATATCAAGTCAGTAATGCCATTAAACCCCCTGAAACCTCTGGGACTATCAGGTGTCCAAGATATGAAACCCAGGGGGAGAGGCTTCATTCCAGACAGCTTGAGATCCAGTGGTCCCAAGAAAGTACACAAAGTTGTGGGTGAGCATAAAGAACGTGTTAATGAACTAATGATTAAATAAATGAGAACTTAAATTTTGCTTAGCTTTTGGCTCATGACTGTAAATTGCTTTTCTGTGAGTTTGAACAAGAAGTGGAACCAAAATAGAGAGATGTGTACAGCCTCCCTCTTTTAGCTTTCTTTTTGGTACAATAATTATTGCAGGAATAATCCTGTGAAAGCTTCTGGGACCTCTTTAATTTTCATGACCAGGAGCTCCTGGGATCCACTGGTGAACCCCCACGTTCTGGGACTGTGCAGTGTTGCATCCCATTATCCAAACCCCAGTTTGAAGTCAGGGTGTGTAATCAATTCATACACGCTATGGGGCATGGTTACATTTTCAAATCTAAAGTACAGATTCATTTAATCACAGCCTAACTCTAAAATCCTAATAGGGATCTTTACATTTCACGTTGTATTTTTGGAAAAAGATTAAATAAGTGGGTTTGATGAAAGAGCTTCTATTTCTGAGGCTCCAGAGTTCTGCTAAAATGAACATAAAAATAAAATCAATATATGAATTTCGGAGTGTGGAATATTTAGCACCTAGAACTCTTATCAGCTTGATGCAAAACCAGATGGCTTTAATCAAGGACTCAAATGCTTGTTTCCCTTCCCAAATGTTTTCAACTCAAAAGTTTAAAATTATCCTGAAACTCTCCTCCAAGTGAGGAGAGTTCCACTGAACTTGCTGGTCATGTAAATTTAAACTCTCAGAGGTGGTGGAGCAAACTATGAAGAGAGATCTAATGACTTGCCTGCCCTGCGGGCTCACTTTGTTTTGAACAAGTGTCACCAAAGGAAAACCTCCTCAAGTGATCTGCTGTTCTGTTTTTCTTTTTTCTCTGAAAATATTTTCCTTAGCTCTAAGCATTTCTCTTGTTTTTTTTTTTAAGGGTCAAAAAAGATGATGAAACTTAGAACAAATAAATGTTTAATTCACATATTAGACTTACTTTCTGTGGTGCCAGTTTTGTGCCATTGCTTTCTGATTTCATCCCAGCCTTAAGTACCCATGACTGCTCAAACACAATCAGCAAGAGGCTCTGGCCCTTATATTTCTTCATGATCCTTTCCATGAAGATTTCTTCTGATGAGCATTTATCTCCCTCCCTGGAACACATCAGTGTAACAGAGTTCACAGCTGCATTAGATTTGCAGCCTGCATTTGTTCAAGAGACTTTTCAGTGAATTGAAATCTCTGGGTTTCAGGTGGGATTTCGGGGAACTTCATTTAGGGACAGCTGTTGAGGGAAGAGTCCTTTGATGCTCCAGGAGTTGGAACCAACCAGTGTAATGATGCTGGGACAAATACAGGGGTGGCTTAATCTCCTGAATGAGGGATGAAAGAAATCATACAAGCTTTAAAACTTTTGGAAAGAGAAGAGGGGATTATTCTGTTACCCAGGCAACATCTCTTCCAAGTACTGGTGCCGTGAAATAATTAACTAATAATCTTGAAGGGGTAAATTACTGCTACATCAACCTTGACTGACACAATAGTTTGTCAAATACCTTGGAACAGAAGTGTTGAGAGGCTTGCCACGACCCAGCAATGCGTTTTTTCAGCCTAAAAAACCAAATGTGTTCCGGGCTGGAACAGCTGTGCTGTGAACACAGTCTGAGAGAGCTGGGGTTGTTCAGCCTGGGGAAGAGAAGGTTCCAGTGCAGAAAGGGGCTACAGGACAGCATGGAGAAGATCTTTTTGCCAGGGCATGTAGTGACATGATGAGGGGAATGGCTTCACACTGACAGAGGCCAGGTTGAGGTGGGATATTGGGAAGGAATTCTTCCCTGGGAGGGTGGGCAGGCCCTGGCACAGGTTGCCCAGAGAAGCTGTGGCTGCCCCTGGATCCCTGGAAGTGTCCAAGGCCAAGTGTTCATGGCAGGGGGTTGGAACTGCGTGATCTTTAAGGTCTCTTCCAACCTGAAATATTCTAAAATTCTGTGAAACAGCACCAGAGAAGTCTTAAATAAAACAAGGAGAGGGTTGATGAGTACAACAGAGAGCTCAGTCCAGCTGGAACAACTACTTGCCACTGATGCAGCCCCATGCATTAAACAGTGCCCAGGGACAGTGAGCTTACTGAATCTACATCTCTTCGTTTCATGTCCCAGCATGAGATAAGGAAGCACTTTTTTACTTCCCCTTTCCTCTTGCCTGTTGTCTTGAGACAGTGTTCCTCTGTTACTCTGCAGTTGTCCAA